CGGGCTCAGTGCCCAGCAGTGCCACGCTACGGGGACTGAGGGAAGGGGACACACTGGGCCTTTGGTGGTGACAGTCACCGTGGGCTATGTGATTCCCATGGCACGGATGGCCTTTTCAGCCCGGATTCAGAGGGGCCCCATCCTGGACGTGGGCACCATCTGCCCCAGGGCTGCCCCATGGCAGGCACAGAAGACGTGCCCCATGGACACTCAGCTTACCAATGAGCCTTTCTGTTGGAGTAAATGCAATTTCACCATTTCTTTTCCTATTTCTTGCTTGGCAAATGTATTCCCCAAAGCTCCTCCAGCGCCAGGCCAGGTTCAGGTTGCCCTGTGTGCCTACAGCGACATGGGGACAATGCCATGGCGGAGCATCAGGTCTGCCGGTGCTGGGGGCAGCTGAGACCCTTCCTACAGCCATATCTCTGTTAATTGCCCGAATGTCCCGAGGCCCGGGAGCGTTGGCTGAGGCTCTCGGGGGTACTGACACGAGAGCACATCACCTTCAAAGCGTATGTTGAAAGCGGTGGCAGCTGCGGGCTCCTCCGCGAGGAAGTCGATCCTGATGGTGGAGCCGTCGCTGATCACCCCCTCGAAGGGCACGCTGTCGGCGCGCAGCGAGTCGTAGAGGACGGCGGACTGGTTCGTGTCCCCGCTGTACACCACCATCCTGCACGGGAGGACACGGCACGTTACATGGGAGAAGCGTCCCTGCGCCCCGACCGGAGCATCCCCCGGTCCTCACCAGCACCCACTCTCCGGTGCTCCCGGAATATGGCATTTTAAAGAAATTGTGCAAACGAAAATCTCCCAGCCAGATAAGTCTCTTTTACTGTGTCATAAACAGAGGCTTTATTCTTTGATTTTACTACAAGCCATAAAACTGCTTTACTGCCCGTTACCAGACTGAATGTTAATGCTGTTTAAACACACACATCAGCACCGCAAGCGTGTGCTTTGCTACAGCTCCTTGCGCTGCGGTGCTGAGCACTGGGTGTTCAGAGGGAGGAAAGGATGGGTGTGACAAGGCACACTGCGTCACCCCACAGCTGGCAGGACCAGGAGACCTGTGACATGCCCTGGCACAGGGACTCGGGGTAGCAGAGGCTGGTGCTCTGCCCTGCTCCAAGACCTGCTTTGCCTCCTGAGCGCATAAGCACTAATATCAGGAAACTTCTCTTCTGCGCCAGGACCCTTCTCTACCCCTGGCCTCGCCATCCTCTGGCTGGCAGCCTCCTCCATGCTCACCCGGAGCTCAGGCTGGTGCTGCCTCCCAGGACACCTGCAGCCCTGGCACCGCGAGGGCAGGAGGTGCGAGGTGGAGGACCTGAGACCAGCTGGGAGCTTCCAAGCCTTGGAATACATAGTGCCCAGCAAAGCACCCCCGCTCCTCACCCTGGGCAGCGCAAAGCTCTCTGCAGTCCTGGGGGGGCAGGGAAACGGGCTCACCGCAAACCTCGCCGCCAGCCAGCGCCACCCGGGCACACGAGCGGCTCCCCGACCTGTCCTTCTCGGTCAGCAGGAGCTTCTCGAAGTGCAGGTGCAGCTTCTGGCCCGGGGGGGCCCCGATGGCCCACACGCAGTACATGCTGCTCGACTGGTTCCCGGTGTAGCTGGGTGAGAGGACGCGGCCGATGGTGGCATTGTGGACGGGCCCGCCCCAGGGGGCCGCAGCAAAGCCCCGCTGAGACGGGCATGGAGACAGGGCGAGGAAAGGGTACGGGCAGGCATTTGCACCTGGGGGTCCTGCGCAGCACAGGGGGGGGCTGCCTGCCCAGCTCTTCTGGGCCATCTTTGATGCATGAACCTCTTGCCTGGCCTGGCTTTGCTTCGTTTTGCGTGTAGACATACGTGCTCACACACACATGTAAAATCTATAATTGCCTTCCCGTACCTGCCTAATTAGGAGGCAGATTCCGCTGCCACTGGTGTGAAAACCCGCAGTACCTCGGGCTGCGCCGTGCGCAGAGCTGGGCATCGCTTTCCCTCTCTCCCAGGGCTCCGTTTGACTCACAGCACAAAGAAAGCAACTCTAATTTTATTTCTTTGGGGATCCCGGTTCTTCTTAGCACTGCGGCCAGCTAACGAGGCGCGTACCTGAGCAGATGGGCTCCGGGCTGCTCCAGTGCGGCCTCGAGGCGTTGATGCACGTAAGCACCCTGGGACCCTGCAGCTCGTAGCCCAGGTGACAGTGAAAATGAGCAACTCCACCCGAGTGCAAATCCATCACGGTGACGTCTCCGAAGTCAGGTCTCCGTGGAAAGTTGCAGCTCAGCATAAACACTGGAACAAGAACACCTGTTTCAGAGCTCAGGGCTTGTCTGCTCCGAGCCGCCCCGCAGTCGCGGGGGGTGGCACTGGGGACATGCTGGATGTGCCCACGGTGCCACAGACAGACCTCGCTGCTGCCTGCCAGCCGCAGAGCTCCAACAAACCGCCAAGCCTCTGCTTCTCCACCTGTTACTGCTTTTGCCCAGACCCAGTTTCTATTTTAGAAAGATTTTGCTTGAACTCATCTATTTTTTATGGCTCTTCCAGGAAAAAATAGACTTGCAGCCTGAGCCTGTGCAGGAGGAGCTGCTGCTTGGGGACGGAAATGGGGCAAGGTGGGTGTGCAGAGCACAACCAGCTCCAGGGCCTGGCACATCGGTGCACATCGAACCCTCTGCTCTGGGCACGACACAGGCTGCTGCTCAACCCACCCCCGATGCTCTGAGCATGGGCATGAACAAAACAGGAGCCCAGCTGGTCTGCCAAGGCAAAGCCCGGCATCCTCCCACCCCTGCAGCCTGGTGGGGCTGAGTCCCCCAGGACTGACACCCCATCCCACCCCTCCTTGTGCACCCGCGGCAGGGAGGCACCCACCCTGGTAGTGGAGCTGGAATGTCCCCACCACCTCGTCCTGGAAGGTGCGGAAGTAGACAGAGATGGTGTTGGTGGGGCTGCGGATCACCTGGCCCTCCACCAGCAGGGTCTGGTTGGCCAGGACCACCAGGGCATCACCGTCCACCCCGCGGATGGAGAGCACCTCCCCGTCAGACAGGTTCACGCTCTTCACCTGGGTGGGAGCAGAGACCCGTGAGCTGCAAGGGTGAAGCCAAAGGTCCCAGCAGGGTGCTGGGTGAGTGGTCCTGTCCCAGCCCCAAACACATGGCACCACTCTGAGCACTGCAGATGGGAGCTGCTTGTTCGGCTGCAACGGAGCAGTCTGTGCCCTGCACGGGTCCGAGGGACCCCCACGACCGCTGACCCCTTCTCCCTCCCCAGGTCAGTGGGTGCAGGCAGCTAGAGCCGCTCATTTGAGATGTGTTTCCAAGCTGGATGCTCCTGTGCAGCACAAGCCGACCCATGTCTACCTCCCTGCTGAAACCTGGGGGTTTGGGCAGGCGGGTAGAGGCGGTGAGAGTTAGACAGGAGGAAGATGGAGGGGTCCCACAAGTTGCTGGTCAGGGCAGTGAGAAACCCCAACTTCACCCGCATCAGCCCTGGGAGCAGACCTGCATCTCGGGGCACCCTGGCACAGAGCACAGCCATAGCCAAGGCTCACCATTTCAGTGGTGGGAGGGCTGTTTGGCACAGGTCTGCAACCAAACCCGGGCATTTTGCAGGGTTTGGTGCTCACCGTTCACCCCGTGCACCAGGCATCCTCCCCAGGATCCCCCACCCGCTCCGGGAGTGGATGGGGAGTCACACGGCAAATGTGCCTAATGAGCAGTCCCAAAAGCCTTTAATTATTATTTGGAAATAGCTGAAAAGTAACCTCACATTTGCATTTCACGTCCATTTAGCTTAATAAATGGGCTCATATTTCAGCAGAAAGATGCTCATCAGATCATTTGTTTCCTTGAGTGCGCGAGGACCAGGGTTCTATATTTAGCGCCCGCCACAGCCTCAGCCCGTGATTGCGAGCGCTCCGGGCGATGTTGTGACTAAAAGGATTCCTCGCTGTTCCGCCAGCCATGCCCGTCTCCCTGCCCCGACGCACGAGGTGGGGATGTGCCCGGCCCCAGGGGCCACCGGTACCGAGCACAAAGCCACCAGCAGTGCTTGACATCCCCTGATCTGCTGGAAGCAGCAAGATTTCCTCGGGAAAAAAAAAAGACTCCGACCCCACCGAGTACTTCTCTGCCTGCCCCGAGGTCCATAAGCCCTGAATGATGCCTGGAAAAGCCTGGTCCTCTCTGCAGGGCTGGGCTGAGCAGCCCCCAGGCTGGGTCAGACCGTGCCAGGGTCCAGCCCAGCCCCCACTTTTAACCCTGGATCAGCTGATTTTGCCGTATTTTGCAGCAGGGTGCTGGGTCGCTGCGGAGAGACTCTGGCTGCGGAGAGACTCTGGTCCTTGGTGCAGGGACCGGTCCTTGGTCCTCACGGGCGCTGCACGGCGTGTCGGAAACACGGGGCAAGCGTGTGCCCTGGGCCCTGGCCCGCCCCAGGGTGTTTCTTCTTCTCCAGGTTTTGCCCTGAAAACGTGCCTCCCGGCACGGCGCACGCACATCATGTCCGGTGGGCCAGTTTGGGTCTAATTACTAATAAATGGAATTAATTCGCTGTTACTGGGGATGAGTTTTTCAGAGCACGGGGTGCTACATACCGCGCTAACGACTCCCACCCCGCTCCCACCGGGGCAGAGTTCTGCTTCCCGAGCCGGCTCTGAACCACTGCAAAGACATTTCCAGGGTATTTCTAACACATTTTGTTCTGAAATCACTCAAAACCAAACCCACTCCCCAGCGAGCTCCCTCCGGTGATGACTAGCACCAAACACGCTCCCGAGCACCGAATCACTCCGGCAAATTAGAACAAGAAATGTCTGGGAGCGCCGTCGGAACGGCTGATGGCAGCCGAG